GTAATTATGTTATATGTCACTCATCCATAGTAAAATATTGTAAAGACACACATTAACTTATCAAATCTCCATGAGAAATGAATTTTTATAATAATTGAATTAAATGAGAAGCATAATGCACGTGGACAAGAAATGAAATAGAAGCATCCACTTTGCGCAGCATTAAATATCAAGTTTACTTCATTTAGTATACCATTTACTCACTTTTTTGTTTACTTCTTTATACTTTTAATTGAGAAAATTGCTATAGATATCAATAGTCATTCAATGAAATAATAAGGTACCTTGAAACAAAAAATCAAACAACTTTCATATTCTATTTACTAACTGTAGTAATCCATTCTTGCTAATACATGATATCAGAATAACAATGTAAATTTAACTAAACAATACTTGTTCAGCATGCTTGTCTTGGGAAGCAAGAAATTTTAACTGTATTGATGCAACTCTTCCATATTCCTCATAAAGCATATAGCCAGTCCAAAAAATAAACAAGTACTCCGCAATTATATGGATGAAAAATCTAATATTCACCCATAACAAAGAAACTTAAAGGCATTGCAGATGATTAATAAAATGCAATTTAAAAAATATACATTTATAACTCCAAAATCTAAGGCGTGTGATGTGAAAGCTATTCCAGCAGAAGTGTTCATCCATTTATCTGTAAAAATAAATTCTCAAGAGTCAAAATATCTCGTTTCCCAAATGAAAAACTATATTTAACCTTGGATAAACAAAAGTAGAAAATCTTGTAGGTGAAAGTACAAAAAAAAATTTTAAAAAAATAAAGGAAACGAAAGATTAAAAGAAGAGGTGTGGAGGTAGGATAAGAAAGATTAAAAAATAGCAGAAAAATAAAAAGAAAAGCCAAAGTATATAAGAAATCTATCATTAAAAAAGAAAAATTATATTAGTAAAGGAATATACATCTAGCAACCACCAAACTGTAAGATGCCAAAAACTCTAGCTTAACATTCAGGAAATTTATTAAATTTATTACTACAACTATAAAAAGAAAATGATAAAATTTCCAAAATTTTAATTACATAATCATGAATGAAAACCAAACATCCAGCAAAAGGCTTTTTTTACTATGAAACCGTAAAAGTTTTTTAAAAAATTAGGTCAAAACCTCTTCTTGGATCCAAGAAATCGAAGATCCTCTATATCATCTGCCGTAAACACCTGAAATATAGTAAAACTATAAATACATGGCATGTTGAGAGATAATATATGAATTGAGCAAAAATTTCACAATTTGGGTGAGAGAGGGGAGTTTGAGAGAAAAAGAAATGGGTTGAAAATTGGAAGAGAGAAGAAAGATAAATGGATGTTGCGTAAAGAAAATAGATGTTGCGTGAAGAAGTAAGGAAAAATAGATATTGCGTAAAGAAATGAAAAAGAGTAGGGAAAGAGAGAGAGAGAGAGAAGGATAAAAAAAAAAGAAAAAAGAAGAAGAAAAAATTACCAATAAAAAAAATCTTTCCGCACAGTACGGAGAGATTTATTTTTATTTTTCGCTCATAACAGTTTTTATTAATAGATATTGACTAAAGAATTGGAGAAAAGTAGGAAAAGTGAGAGAGAGAGAGAGAGTGAAAAAAAATTACCGAAAAAAATAAGATCTCTCCGCACTGTGGAGAGTGCGCTCCAACTCTCTGCATTGTGCGGAGAGATGGAAAAATGGCTCCGCACTGTGCAGAGAGGTGGAGAGATGGTCTCTCCACAGTGCGGAGAGTATTTTTTTTTCCCTCATGGCAGTTTATAGATATTAATTTTTTTTTTAATGGTGATGGCAATGCGTGTGAAAGAACATTCATAAACAAAATTCTTTGCTTCATTGTCGTTTTTATTTTTGCTCATGGCAATATATACTATGTTGAAGAAGTAACAAAAATAAATATTACCCAAAAAATGGAGAAAAGTAGGGAAAGCGAGAGAGAGTAAAAAAAGGGGAAAAAAGAAGGAAAAAATTACTGGAAAAAAGGAAGAAAATATCTTCGCACCGTGCGGAATAACTCTCCACACAGTGCAAAGAGATGGTCTCTAACTCTCCGCACAATGTGAAAAGTTTTTTTTTTTTTTTTTTTTGCTCATGGCAGTTCATATATACTATGTCAAAGAAGTAGGGAAAAATAGATATTGCCTAAAAAATGGAAAAGTGGCCTGGTAGATTTTAATAATTCTTGAGCACATATCTCTAATATATACTTGGGCACATTTTGTAAAATCGGAGAAATATATGGTTAAAATTTTGTGAATCCCATATATATAATCCCATTATATATATGGTTAAAAATTTCATTTTCAATTATTTTAGGCAAGAGTTTTGAGAATGACCTAAGTTTGTTTCCAATTATTTCTAATAATTCGACAAGAGGTGCTAGTTTTAAGCATAAAAAACGTGTGTAATTGAAGAATAAAAGAGTTGATGAATAATTGTCTGTATAAACATACATAATTGATTTTAATAATTCTTGAGCACAGTACGAAAAGTGCACTCCGCACCGTACGAAGAGTGTCGAGAGTTCTCTCCAACTCTCCGCACAACTCTCCGCACAGTGCAGAGAGTGCACTCCGATTGCACTTCTCACCGTGCGAAGAATGCGGAGAGTTGGAGAACTCTCCGCACAATGCGGAGAGTGCACTTCGCACCCACACCATGCGAAGAGTGCGGAGAGTTCTCTCCAACTCTCCTCACAGTGCGGAGAGTGCACACCGCACCGTTCTCCAACTCTCCGCACTGTGCGGAGAGTTCGCTCCAACCCTCCGCACAATGCAGAGAGATGGCTCCGCACTATGCGGAAAGTGCGAAGAGATTTTTTTCTCATGGCAGTCTATATATATATATTAAAAAAATAATAGATAAAACAACCAATTGCAATAAATTTTAAGTTCAACAATCCAATTGGAAGTACGGCTTTCCCATTAACCAAACTAATAAAAATGAATGAAATGGACCAATTGTAATAATTTTTGCAATTAGTTTTGAAAATTTCGTCGCCTATTTTTCCCAAAAGTAATCATATTAATTGTGTCAAAGCCATCAAATTGAATTTTAGAAACATATTGTGTGAAGTGTCTGGTGCATGTGCGGACACTCCGCACCAATTTGAGAGCGAACTCCAAACTGTCCGCATCACACCAATTTGGATGTGCAGACAGTCCGCACACATTGTGCGGAGTGTCTGGTGCATGTGCGAACACTCTGCACCAATTTTTTGAGGCAGCAGAAGCAGCGCCTTAGAGTCTGCACAATGTGTGGACAATCCGCACACATTGTGTGGAATGTCCAGTGCATGTGCGGACACTCCGCACCAACTTTTTTGAGGCAGCAGAAGCAGCGCCTTGGAGTGTAGCCTGATGCTGAGTGATATTAGCATTTGCACCAACTGAGCCATAAGATGTACTGGTTGCACTTATACCTGTGTCCCTCCAACAAAGTTAGTTTGTTGTTTTATACAAGTATGATTACCAATTCATCAATTTGAATCAAAACCATCAAAATAAGTGCATATTTGGCAAAGCTTAAATTATAATTCAAGTTGCTCAAACATAGTTTGAAGCAAACCCATCAAATTAAGTGCATGTTTGGCAAATCTTAAATTATAATTTAAGTTGGTTAAACATACTTTTACCCACACATTTTGTAAAATCGCAACTTATAAATACTTATAAGCACTCCCAAGCATTCTTTAAGTCAACTTTCTATGTGCATATTTTAGATTGTAACATGTTTTGTATTCATAAATCAGAAAGGACATAAAAAGCATAATTATTAGAAATATACAACTGTAATTTTCACTTAAAAAATATACACCATCTCTCCGCACTGTTCGGAGATTTTTTATTTTATTTTTTGAAAAAAAAAAGGCCATTAATATATAGTATTTGGATCTAGGAACTGGAGATGAAAAATTACAACAAATACAAGCACAAAAAAAGAAAGAAAAACAACCTGAAAAAGGGAGTTGTAAGTAAAAACAAAGCATTCTATATTAATAAACTAACATAATTATATATAAAAAAATGACCAAACTTAGTTTATTACAAGCATTCTCAAACAACTGCTAAAAAAATCTCTCCGTACAATTCGAAGAGATCAACTGATCTCTCCGAACTGCTGAACTCCGCACAGTGCCATCTCTCCACACTGTTCGAAGATTTTTATTTTCGACAAAATCTTAATACATATTAAAACTGAGATCAAAGCTAAAACAAATACATGCACCAAAAATACAAATGAGATGAAAAATTAAAACAAATACAAGCATAAAAAACATATAGCATAAGCACTACTAAATATAAACCTGTTAAACTGAATATCCTTAAACGTTAATCAGAATGAAGTATAAAATGAGGTTGCACTTCATGCATCAGACTTTTCAGTTGAGGATTCTCATGCTTTCTCTTTCTTTCGCAAGCTCGCCTATTCTTAAACCAATCACCGATATTTTTTTCAAAAATAATAGAGTTACGTGGCGATAAGGTGAAAACTATATGTAGAATTTCTGTGTCGTTTGGACATTTATTTCCCAAAAAAAAAAAAACAGAGAGAGAGAGAGAGAGAGATATTAGCCACGCACATAGATCTCCCATAGCTCTTTTGGAAAATCTACAACAACTAATTTAATAGAACAACGCCGGAAATTTTGGGAAGAAAGAGTTTGGAAAGGCCGAAGAGAAATGTTGCGTGTCAAAATGGATATGCGGTCTTATTTGTGATTCACATGAAGATTAAAAAAATAATAATAATAAAAATACATCATCTGCAATAAAATGGGATTAGTATACCGTTGTATGAACAATACCAACCCCTTCGGCTTTTTATAAGAAGTTAGAAACTACAATCGAGAAAGAACATTCACCGAAAGGCCACTAAGGACCGACAGGGGGAATGAAAAATGCCCTCTAAGGCCAAAGGCTTGAGTTCTTAAGTGCTCTCCTGATTCCAAATATGGTATATTAAAATCAATAAGCAGCACAAAAAACCAATCTATTAAAAAGAAGATAATATGTCTTCCATCAAACTGAAACTTGAAACAGGAAAAATATGAAACCAATCACAGGAAACGTAACAATATGAATTCCAGGATTCTTGTGCCTCGTGCACTTAGATAATAGTTGAATTTGTGTTCACGAGAATCAAAACCAGAAATTTTCACCTACAGACCACGCGTATCAGATAGAATAATGCCTGAAAGATTCCACAATATACATTACCACGAAGACGAGTGGTGCTGGAATTAGGGGACAATTATATCCTTGAAGTACTCATGCTCAAGGGCACTTCTCGCAGTGATTCTTCTGCTGGGATCCAAAGAGAGCATTTTCTGTAATAGAAATGACACAGTGAATTAGCAACACAAACATCTGTCCCTTTTTCTATCAGAGAAAAAGTACGAGTTTTGATACTTTTCTCTAAGCCAACCCAAATATGCTAAAAGTAACATTCAATTTTGCAGAAAAATCATGTTAGAATCCATTCATAGAACTTGCATCTATTGTGAAATGTTCTTGATGAGTCATAGAAAATAATCTGAACTTACAACAAGGAGATCAAGACCAGCGGCATCAAGATTCGGGACGACAGCTGCAATATCCTAGAAAATCGAGCAAATCATTTAATATCATCTGATGAATCCTGGATATTTCATACATTAGGTAAGGAAACTATATAACTTAATGCCAACTTCAATTACCTTACGAGGCCACTTTGGAAATGCAGATTTGAAATCAGGCAGTGAAGACACTCCAGGCCAAGTATCTTCATTTGGGGTGCCCATAACTCTTCATTACAAAATATGGAAACTTTAAAAGACAATAAATAAATCATATGATTTCAGATAAAGAAATGTTTCCTTAAAAATCATCTCCAACTCACACCCTCATCCCCAAAGGGAAAGGAAAGGTAAAATGTGGACAAAAGAAGATTATCGACAAACATAAACAGGAGAAGTATATGAAAATAGGGTTATCCGAGGGACACAGTAGAGAAAACAAAATAGCAATAGTCAAAGAAATCTCCCATCAAGGGGCTTATAGCTATCCAAAAAGAGGAGATGATTGCAGAGTAGAAATCATAGTATGGAAAGAATTAGCACCTGAAAATCCTAAACAGTTCGTCAATCTCAGAGTCCCCAGGAAACAATGGCCGCCGGTTCACCATTTCAGCAAATATACAGCCAACTGACCACACATCAACAGGAGTAGAATAGTGACGTGATCCAAGTAATATTTCTGGTGCCCTATACCACAGCGTCACCACCTGCAAAGAAGCATAAAACTTGAAGCTATATGACATTTTGGATCAAGTGAGATAATGATTGGTAATGATGAAAATTCTAGGAACATAAAAAAACAGAGATCTTCAGGTCTTTATTTGCTTTAATTTTACAGCAAGAAGGATTTACTTGAGTTTATAAACTACAATCTCAGCATGAAATAAGATAACGTCATGGCAAATAAAAAATGCCATTAGGAACATTACAGACAGTTGAAATTTGTAGAGAACCACACTAACCTGGTCCAATTACAAAATTTAACCCTCACACTAATTTTTACTTAACCATCTTTTAATCCGACTTTTAAATGCCCTTGACAATTATGTAATAAAATCAGATACGACAATACTTGGAAAATGAATGTGGAAATGCAAATAAAAAAATTATCAGTGATGCACAATTACCATAGATGGATGAAAATAACAAAGTTTCACAA